GTTCTACTTTTGGCAAATGTAAAAGCCCTTTCACACCAAAAGCCTCAGGCTGAAGGAAATGCAAATTCACGTCTGTACAGTAGAACGCAGAAGAAGAAAGTGCAACACTCTTCAGCAACAAAAAAGAAGAAGAAATGTTAGCTTATTTTTGCTTATTAGTATAGTTGAATTGGATCATCGAAGGTCAGCAGCAAATTGGTTAATAAAATGGGCTTAAATACATAAAGGATATTTGTATTATTACTATTTTCTTGTAAATTAAAAAGTAATGTGTTACTTTACTAGTTACTTGAAAAAAGTAATCTGATTACGTTACTTGTAATGCGTTACCCCCAACACTTATATACATATATATTTAAAAACGTTTTTGTAAAACGGTGTACACACACATGCAATCAAAGTGTAAGAAAAATATGTTGCTCATTTTTTACATGATGGTTACTCCACTTTAAAATGGTATTAAAAATGTTCAAAACCACATTTTTAAGAATGTATATGTTTTAAAATGTATTTTTCCTTTTCTTTATTATGGACACTCTTATATGAAATTGATCCCTATAACAATAATACTGTGGTTTATCTTCACCAGAATGACTGATTGAAAATGATTCATTCCTGCCATGCGAGCAATCGCTTGAAGAAGCACCTTGTGTCCCAAGTGAACTGCTACGAACGCCTCACCTGTGAATTCTGGGAAGTAGGTGGCCAGGTGAGAGTGCACGATCTTCTCCTTCAGGATGTCTGTCTTATTAAGAAAGAGAATCACAGACGACTGCTGGAACCAAGGATATGTGATGATGGTTTTAAACAAAGCTTTACTCTCCTCCATCCGATTCTGAAACACATGAGACTCAACAGACATGAGCATGAAGTCCCAGAGGAACAGCCTGCACGAGGATGAGCTCAAAGTGCACTGACCTCATTGTCACATTCAGCCAGGACCTGGTCGTACTCGCTCAGAGCCACCAGGAAGATGATGGAGGTGACGTTCTCAAAGCAGTGGATCCACTTCCTGCGCTCGGATCGCTGACCCCCGACGTCCACCATCCTGACGGCATCAGATAAACACGACAGATACAGAGTCGTTCACTTTCATTTGTCAGCCGACCCCGGAGGTCATGGAATTTCGAATAGGTTCTAAAAATGTCCATTTAAAAATTTTAGTCCACAAGTTTTAACGCATATCTTTTTTTTTTTACTGTGTCCTTGTTAGACATGTTACATGCACTTACTATAGTAATAACAATGCAATATATGCATAATTACATGCAACTAACCCTAATCCTAATTCTAACCATATAGTAAGTACACATAATTAATTATTATTACTCAGAACTTGAGTGTATAATGACACTGTAAGCCTTAAGTGTAAGCCTTATTCCTTATCATTTTAGTGAAGTACTCACACCTCAGGAGTCCATGAAGTCCCTTGTTTATTCTTTAGGTAACATTTTATTTTAAGGACCAATTCTCTCTATTAACTAGCAAGCATATTATTACTAACATATTGGCTGTTTATTAGTAAAGCACATATTAAAGGGGTCATATGATGTGATTTCAAGTTTTCCTTTCTCTTTGGAGTGTTACAAGCTCTTGGTGCATAAAGAAGATCTGTAAAGTTGCAAAGACTAAAGTCTCAAATCCAAAGAGATATTCTTTATAAAAGTTAAGAGTCAGCCACACCTACCTAAAACGGCTCGTTTAAACACGCCCCCACATACCTACGTCACGATGTGGGAAGATTTGCATAACGCTGCCCAAATGTTCACGCAAAGAAAGAAGGCGTAACTTTTATTCTCGCTGTAGTATTGTTGCGGCCGCCATGTCGTGAAGGCGCTGTGTTTCGTTGTGAAAGCGAAACTACTTTGTTTGGTCTTCCAAAAGAGGACGATATCTGCTTCGTCATGCCTGGAGCTGATCCATGCTGGTTGCTGAGGAAATACTACAACTTTGCGCTGTGGATCGCCGGATCGGCTTTCACCGTGGACGAAGCGGAGTCCAGCCCGGGGTCGTCACATGTGGTTGCCGCAAGCATCCTTCGTCGAATCCGCCGGCCGCGCCGTTCTCTAGCCCCCAGCCTCTGCTCACTCTAGGCCGCCGTGTGTGACGCTGTGTTTCGTTGTGAAAGCGAAACTACTTTGTTTGGCCTTCCAAAAATGGACACGACTAGAAATCAGTGGTTAAGTTGTAT